CTGCCGGCGATGTGCGAGGCGGGGATGGCGGGAGCGGGGCCGTGGAGGTCGGCTGGGCCGGCAGCGATGCGCATCGCGAGTGGGCTGTGGGTTGAGTGGCGGTGCGGCCTCAAGAGGGAAGCCACAGCGTGAAAATCGAATTGGCAGCCGGACTCAGTTTGTCAGAGGATGGATCGACACCAAGCGAGAGCTTTTCCTTAAAGATGCTGTTCACGAAGGTTTTACTTTTTAAAAAAGAAAGGGGGGAGAGGGGGCAGAGAGGAAAAAAAAAGGAGAGATCGTAATGATAATGGATTCTGCATAGTTGTAAAACATCGGTGAGAGGACTTGCACGGGTGCTAAAGTGGGCCGTGCCCTGTCTTGAGCCGAGTCCTGCTGGGAGCGTGTTGTTCTTGAACATCAGTTTTAACTTTGGCGGAGGAAGGCTGCTGAAACTTTCAACGTGGCTATCAAAATTTCCGTTTGTTTAGCCAGGGTGCAAATTACGTGCCTTGATATTTACTTGGCTGCCTGTCAGCTGCTACCTGACTGCCGGAAGGGTCTGCCATGGGAAAGCTGCTTTCTGCTTGCTCCTTTCTTCTGTTCCTGCCAAGGCATCTCCTGTTGGGCACTGTTGGAGAGGGTATTCTGGACCTTTGGACTGTCAGAACTTTGTTCTCTAGTTTTTTTTTTTTTGAAATACATCGTTACTTAGGGGATCACAGAACCAAGAACGCTGTTAAAAATCACGTGGTTGCTTAACACTGTGTACAGCAGCTGAATGAATATCCTCGGTCTTAAGGGCATAAAAATCACTTTGGTGTTTCTTCGTCTTCTAACTCCTTGTTATTAGGACTCGTGGCACTGTAGTTTTCCTGGAAAAAATTATGCATTTTTCCCGTAATGTACATGGTATAGTAGTGATACCCTGTAGTAACTGACTAATCAGATGACCATAAGGATGCATAATTGATTCTAAATGCAACTTTTATACTTTACCTCTTTGAGCACAGATTCTAGTATATGTTTAGTACATCTAGTACGTGTGAAGTTTAGGTCTATTTAATAAAGGTTAATATTTTAAACGAAGAAAACTAATTGTCCTTATAAACTTTAATATATTTCCATTACTCAGTGGCTTTTAACAGGCAGACATCAGGTTTATTTTGTTTGGTTCTTCAGTTCTTTCAAAATTCACATGTTATGTAATTCTATTGCAAGACTAATTTCTTTCTATTTCCTTGTGGGGTAGTCCTGGGGTTTTTAAGGATCACAATCCTGTCTCTATTATAATCTATGTGCTGTCAGGCTATGTGTAAGGCAGGGTAGAGCAAAACTGTGATTCAATACTTCCTGTAAGGGCATTTCCAGAAAGTACCAACATCGGCACGTAGCTTTCATAATTTCGGAAAATAATAACAAATGAATCATTCTATTAGAGTTTTGTCATCGTATCAGCACCAAAGCCTCAGTGATACGTTTGTCTATTTAAGTGTAAAGAAGAATGCGGAAAGGAGAAATATTTTTTTTTTTAATTAGGGTAACAGATTAGGAAAAAAAAGATAGTCAAGACAGATGATAAACTAGAGTGCTGTGACTTTTTGGAGTCATGTTTGGTTTAGTCCTCCTTGCCCTCAGGCTGGGGCACATAGAAATGCTCTTAAGGTCAGTAGGAGGAGTTTAATGAAGAGGATATTATGAGTAAAACGCTTCCTGGTCTCGCGTTTCAGGCATACGACGATTAAAGATGAGCTTTAGAGACCTTCTGGAGCGAGATGTGAAAGGGGGCTAAAGCTAGTTCAGCAGTCACTGTTGCTGTGGGAGGTACAGAAGAAAGAGGGTTAGTTCGTTAGCTTTGAGACTTATCTCTCTCTGGCCCATCAGCCAGGTGTTACATATAGCACAGAACAGAAGTAGTGCTGACACGGGGGTTGCCTTAGCAAGGGATTAGTTTAAGCTTCAGTGGTTTGAAAGTGGTGATGCTCAGCCATAAAAGATCAGAGGTGCTCCTTTTGCTACAGTTATAAAAGCTGTACTGTGGCTGAATTATTTTGGGGGGTTAATATTCATGACAGTATCATCTATATAGAAAGTTTCTATCACTATTAATGATGCTGTCTTTACAGATGGGACTATTCTGATGCACTTATCTATTTTTTTTAATATAATTCTAGGTATAAGCATACATGGCTCCTGGTATCTCAAATGAGAAGAAAACTGATGATGAACAGTCTTCAAAGTAAGACTCAGAAATGAATTATCTTGTTGAAGTTTACACTTGCCTTCCTCCCCAAACTCATTACACACTTATTTAGTTTAAGATAAAGTTTATGATACAAATGTTTATTATAATATGAAGTATCTAGAGAAGCTGTTTTGACAAATGGAGTCTTTATCTGCTTTAAGCACACCTACAGGGAGGGCCTTTGCTGGCTAGCCATTTTCATTTATCACTACAGTGAATTTTTCCAAGCGTAGGTGATGTTTTCATTTCTTTATTTTTTTAATCCAGTGAGCTGTTGAAATGTTGACTTTGGTTGCTGCATATGGCCAGACTTACATGCTTCAAGAGCCTGAACAAATATTTCAATCTGTTTCTCTAATCCATACTTTAAGCTTATTTTAGTAAAGCCATACATGCACGTTTAGTCCTCAGATGCTCGCGTTTTGGTTAAATCCCCTGAAGTTGTAGGTGCTTTACAAGAGAGTGAGGGGAATAAATTGTCTGCTCCTTAGAGTTACAGGCCAAAGATTTTTATCAGGCAAACTTTGCCTCTACTGTAAATCGGTGGCATTGGTCCTGTGTACACAGAGTAATATGCTTACTTTTATTGCCCGTTTTACCCTAGGGTCCAAGTCTGCAATTAGATCTGGCAGATAACCAGTGCAAGTTAGTAACAGCCCCTAGCTGCAGTGACATGGTGGGTTGAAGAGCGTTTCTGGTAGGGTATGAGATGAAAAAGGTGAAATATAGGCACTGCTGAGGAAGGAAGCTGTATTTAGGCCAGACGTGAGGACAGTGATGTTGGCACATACCGCATGAATTTCCCTGTACTTTTAATAGAGGCCTCGCCTCTTCCCAGTTTATTTCCTGTAGAGAAGCTTTTATTGCTGGTATTCTCATAAAGAAGGAAATCTTTTTTGCTTGCCTGAGAACAAATTATAAAGTGATTTCAAATCATATCCTATTTGTATGTAAAAGCCATTCCATGAAACTTCAGCACAGCCAGCTATTTGATCTGCATTAGTGAGTTATCCATTAAATATGGGTAGAGAGTCCCACAAAACCCAACAGGAATAATTCAGAGGAGTTCGCCTGGAAATTCTGCTTGTGTGAGCTGGGAAACTTCTGGGTTGTCTGCACCTTTCGGAAGAGCCATAAACCTGCTCTTTATTTCTCCCAGAGTCAAACGGGTCTCTCGGAGGGAAGAAGAAAGAGGACCAAAGCCTTTGGTTCTACCTCAGGCAGGATTTGTATGGAGAGAGGCAAATGGGGCATGTGGGAAATGGAGAGAAATTGCTACTGAAGGGGTGAACAAACCATCCGCTTTGTTGGGCTGCTTTTCCAGTTGCTGAAGGTGGTAGTCTGTGGTGGGCAGGGACAAAGAGGGTGGATTGGGGTGATACCTCTTTCTTTGGTTGCGTAGCTGCTGCTGGATGTTGGAGAGAGAATTTCAAGAACAGAAACAATTCATATACTCAGAATATTGGGGTTATAACTATTTGCTTTGCTTTCTAAGGAACAGTTCAGTGACCTCAGTCAGGGCATCTGCGTCACTTCAGTCTTAAGATAACGAGTACATCCTGCACAGGATTGGCAGATAAGACATAGGACCTGTAGAAAAGCACTGCCCTTTTGGAGAGGCATTAGAAGACAGACGAGATAACCTAAAACACCTAAAGTAGCACTAAACACCTATGTTGAGGCTTCAGAGTTGTTCCTGCAAAGTCTTAACAATGATTTGCATACACTCCAGGCAAACTCTCTTGTTTGTCTCCTCTGACAAAGCACTTTGAATTTGCTGAGACGTGCTGTGACTGCAGTGAGCCTTCGTCAAGCTATTAAGTCATCTTCTTGTGTCTGGAGGATATTTGTTGCTTGATTTCAACTCTTGGGAACTACTTTGAAGTATTGGCCAGTATTTTGCTTAGGCTTGTGAATATTGACTAGTCTTTCCTACCTGTTTCAATTGAACTTGAAACATCAAGCACAGAAGGCAGACATTTTATGAATCATTCAGCATACTCGGTCCACTACGAAATTTTCCATGAAGGCAATCCCACATGCTAAGTAGTTTGGTTTTCTTTCCTTGCCTTGTAGTTTCCTGGTTCTTCAGAAAGATTAATTTATTTATTTATTTTTTAAAGCTGTATCACTTCCTTACAGGAAGCAACTTAGGAGGAAGTGAATTCTTTTGAAGTCTTCCTCTCATTTTTTTTCTCTTCCATGTTTTTTTCTGTTTTCTTGCTTTTTCATCTCCTGTTTCAAATCCTCTGTGCTGTTGTTAGCAGTGTCATGCCATAGAGTTTTTTTTCTGCTGGCTGGATGACACAGAGTTACACTGAGCCAGGTTGCCAGAAATTCCCTTTGGGCCTGTCTATAAAGCGCAAATCTTCCTATCCCTCTCAAGTGGCTAGCAGGGTTACTCAAAATACAGAGGCCAGTTTTGATTTTCAGCTTTGCTATAGATTGTCTGTGTAGTAAGGTGGCCTATTGAATATTCCCTGGTCCTGCTTCTGTCGTTCTGCTCACCATGAAGACCCACCCTTGTTCACAGCTTTAATATTTTTTAAGATAAAGGTTGCGCTGTTGCAAATGCATCCTAACATCTGGGCTTTTTCTTAAGCAATTTAATCTTTTGCAATTAATGGAATGTTAAATATAACTTGTTATTTATTACAAGATGTAAGGTAGTCATGAAATTTAGGATTTCCTTAAAGTAATGCACAAGGAACCAAAATAAGGTAGTGCAGGCATACTTAGGTGTGGCATTCCCCAACTTTTGCTACTTGACTTTGCAAAATTAGCATCTGTTCAATGTAGGGGTTTGTATATACTCTGTATGTTTCACAATGCTGCTGTCCTGGCAGAGAGAACTTTATCCATCTCTGCAACCCTCACCTGGAGAAAATGAAAGAAGACATCCTGTACCATTTTGCTCTTGGGACTGGTACCCATGATTTTCCGGCATTGTTTGGAGATGTAAAGGTAAGATGCTTCATTTCATTCAGCAAGCCGAAGCTTTTCTGCAGAAGGTGGAAGTGTAAGACTAAATGTGTCAGCATACCAGCAACTGAGGAATGAATGAAAAGGAGAGAAGATTTTGTGGGTTCTTGTCGCTTTCAATATCAAGCAAAATTGGGAATAATTTTTTCTGACTCCCTCTTTTCATCCAGTAAAAAGGCAAATGCTGCAGTCTCCATTCAGGTAGAACTCCCTTTCGGGGAGCCTTCAAACCAATATCTGTCTTGTACTAATTAGAATGGGATGAAGGCATTTGAGTGCTTTTTAGAAGGTTTTGGGTTTGTTCCACCCCTGTCCCACCCTAATTTTTCTTCACGGATTTTTAGAATGACTACGAGAAAAACCACATCTGGGAATAGCTTTGTGTTAACTGAGGGTGTTTGCATACTCATGTTGATCTTGCATGTTCTTTGACATACTGAATCGTGCAATTGATTTTGTTTTGTTGAATACTGTTCACCCCAGTTTGTATGTGTTGGAGGAAGTCCGTCACGGATGAAAGCTTTTATTGCCTACATAGCTGAAGAACTGGGTCTTGGTAGTCCCACTGGTGACTATCCTAACATCTGTGCGGGAACTGACCGTTACGCAATGTACAAAGTGGGACCTGTTTTGTCAGTCAGTGTAAGTACCTCACTTAATCAAATATGTGACACTGTTCAATGATGCTGTTCAAAGCAGAAAATATGAATGCACATTTCTTTTAAACACTTAATAGATGGAGTCAGGTTTTTATTTTGAGCCACACTCAAAATAGTGCAGTCAGCCAATTAAGAATTCCTTTTTAGCCCTTTCTTGTAAGAGGACAAATCTCTGAGACTTTTATTCTTTTCTTGCCTTCTTTTTCTTTAGTGTATCACTGAGGTGTTGCAGGTTTAGAGCAGACTTACTGTTGTCTTGTCCCTGTTCTGTATCCTGAATAATGGGGAAAAAGGGTCACTCAATGCATGTGGGGTACTGGACAAAATGGCTGTATCACATCCAGAGCTAAGTATCTGCAGTGGCATTGTCAAATGTGCTAACATATCTTAAGAGTAGCATTCCATTGGATTTGTGCTGTCAACTCATGTATGCATTTTAAAACGGCATACCTTGAATTTGTAAATACGATTACATACTTCAATTGCATAACTGTAGTATCATTCTGCATTCTTTCTTTTGAATTGTAATTACCGCATTATCGTGCAAGTTAAGGTGGACTTATATTTGCTGAACTTCGTGACTAAACCACAGTGTCAGTGTTTTGAAAAAAATTTAGCTTAACTATTTCCTAGAAGTTCAGGTTGGTAAAAAATCAGAGCGGGGTTTTTCTTGTGTTTAAGAAATGTTCTGTGATGAAGTGCATTTGTCAACTATTAGTAGAGGATGCTGCCTATACTTCTGAGAATGTGAATATTTTATAAATCACGATTTTTAGAAATACTGCGTTTCATCCATAGTCCACAAAAGTCAGTGGGGGGTTTTCTGTTTATCCACAGTAGCCTTTCAGTAGGCCCATAGGTTAGGGTTTTTTGGGGAGTGAATTAAGTGACATTTGGAAAAAAAATACCAGGAAGGAGATAATTGTCCAGCTCCTTCTTCCGTATATATTTTGCATGGTCTGTGTGTATGTCGAATATGAATTTCTGCTTTCATTTCAGCATGGTATGGGCATTCCTTCTATTTCAATTATGCTGCACGAGCTGATCAAACTGTTGCATCATGCCAAGTGTTCCAACATAACCATTATTCGCATTGGCACCTCTGGTGGAATAGGTATTTCCCCTCTCGATTTCTTTTTTTCTTCAAACCAAAGCATCTTTGTAGGAGAGTAAAGCATCTCTCTGCAAGTGAGGGACTGATGGTCAGAACAGTTTTGCACAGGAGAGGAATCATTTTGCTTCTGTAATTTTGAAAGAAAAGGCAATACCTGCCTCTCTGGATAGAAAAAATGTACTCAGGAAATCTGACAAAGTGAAGAGAAGGACATGCCTGTCCTGTATACGAAGTATGAGATAAGCAAGTATATGTAGTGAAAAAGTAAAAACTTAATTCTTTCAAAAATTATTTGTAATAATAAACTGAAGCAGCTGGGCATGCACAAAAAAAATTCTCTTGGTGAATTCAGAGGCAAAATTGCCACCTTAAAAGAAGCAGGATTTGGTCAGGATGTATGTTTTGTGTGTGTGGAAACAAAGCATTAACCACATTGTAAAGCTGTATCTTTTTTTTTTTTTTTTTTTCTTTTTCCCTGCAGGTCTGGAGCCAGGCTCAGTGGTTATAACTAGGCAGTCTGTAGATGCCACCTTCAAACCTCAGTTTGAACAGGTTGTTCTGGGAAAGACTGTGATTCGCAGTACAAACCTAGATGAACAGCTAGCTCAGGAACTGATGCAGTGCAGTAAAGAAATCAATCAATTCAATACAGTCATTGGAAACACTATGTGCACTTTGGATTTCTATGAAGGTAAGGCTGGAGATAGACTAACAGAAGTATATTGGTAAGCAGCAACAGATAAATATTGAATAATTTTTTTTAATGTGAAGGTTCCAGTTCACTGAACAGAATGCGTTCCCTACTTTGAGTTGTCTTGTCAGCCGTAATTAACCTATTTTTCATATATGTAAAATCAAGCAGCTTGCTGTATTGCACTTTTAATTTTGTGGAGGTTTATTTCCCCCCAGTTCTAATAGATCCTCTGAAATACATGTAGTCTACTATGTACTTTTCACATACTCGTCAGTTAGGTATGGTTATCACAAAATTTCTGTGATGTACTGAGGCATCCAAGATGATTGGAGGAGTGAGAATTATTTGTTGCTGTTTGGTTTTTTGGTTGGTTTATTTTCACTGGTTGAGTATCTAAAATAAGTCTTCCTAAAAGAAGTTTTGGAACTTCTTTCCTGTGCACATTTTGAGGAAAGGAGTGATCGGACAACTGAAGACAATATTTTGCTGAGTTGTGTCAGTGCTGCTACGTAGGAGAGCCAAACCTCCAAGGCTTACTTTGGATAAACGTGTAGGCATTCGGGTGCTTTTCTGATCTCCCAAGTCTATTCAGAAGCATCTTTCATATCTTGTGAGAACAGAGAGTAGATGGCACCTGATACTACCTTCTCTGGCTGTTACTGGATAGGTGACAAAGGGCGCAATGCACAAGGGAACGCGTGGTCTTCATAGCAGTGCTCAGGCTTGGTCAGAAGCAGACACTGTCAGTTTGCTTATCTCCTCAGACGCCAATCAGGGGTGCAAGCAACACTTTTCTTTAGTGTCAGGAATGTATTCAACTTATGCAGCAAAAACTGAAAACAGGCTCAAGGGTATTAATTTAGGAGTACATCTCCTGAAAACAAAAAAGATACTGAGTAAAACACAGTGGAATTTAACTTTACTGTACACAACCTGCTGCTGTTTTATCTGTAGGTGTTATTCTTGAATAATTTGAATAAACTAATCTCAAAAAATTATAATAGTGTTAGCTAGTTGGCATAAAAGACTCTTAATTTCTTGCCCTAGAGAGCCTGTAAGTAATAAAATGTTCATCCTTCTAAGGTAGTATAAGGAAAGCATTTTCAAGCCTGGCAGTTTTTCTAGACAATGATTAAACAGAAAAAAATGCAGCACTTACATACAGCTTAAAATTTGTTGCTGAATTTTGACGTATGCCTCACATGCAGGAAAACCTAAATAGTAGTTTCCCGTTTATGAATTTGAGAATTTAAGCTGTAGAAGAGCAATTAAATTACCATGATTCGCATTATAAGAAATACAAGTAAAATGTAGAAGCTCTAGCAGTAGCTAAGAATCACTTTGTCCTATTCGTCTTGTGCACGAAAATAAAAGGTATTAGTAAAAGCTGGACACTGTATAGGGGAGACTGCAGTAATTGGGTGTTTATGAAAATGAATTTGTTCTGTGGCCTCATCACTGAAAATTTCTACAAAATGACTCTCTAGGACAGGGCAGGTTGGATGGTGCAATCTGCTTATATAATGAAGAAGAGAAACTGCAGTATTTGAAGGAAGCTTATGATTCTGGAGTCAGAAACATAGAGATGGAGTCTTCCGTATTTGCTGCGATGTGTAATCTCAGTGGTGTCAAAGGTAAACTAACTTAAAGTCACTTTATTCAAGTTACACAGTTTTCTGCATTGCAGGGGATTTGTGGTAAAACCTGTGAATGAGGTGTTAACATACCTTCTGCATATGAAAAAAACCCAGTTCTGGTTATAGTTTTGTTGCTATGATTGCCTAAGTTGTGAATACATATGATACAAATCAAACAAACTTCCTCACGTAGTTCTTACACAGTTCAGTTCTGTCATTTGCTCTTCTAGCCCATGGCAAGCACATAAATAATTGAATTACCTAATTACCCTATGGCATTAATTTGTTTTCTTCAGTTAGTCTTTGAAGTTTACAGGAAGCAACTGGTTAATTTAAGCAATCAGGTGATTCTCATATACATAAAACTATAATCACTGTCTATACTTCCATATCAAATTGAAAATATAAGTATTTTGTGTAGATTTGTGGCTTTAATTTTTAAACAGCTGAAGATTTTCATTAGCGTCATGAATAAACCATTCCTAATTGTAAAAGGAGTTCTTCATTTTTTTTACACAAGCTAACTAATTTTCAGTAAAGATCAGAAAAAAAATGAAGTAATTACAAATAGTGTAATACAGTGCCTTTCTACTTACCATATTAACTGTAGTCTCTCACTTTCCTTGGCAAGGAATTTGCAAATTTAAACCACTAATGTTTCTCAAACTTCTTCAAACTCAAGGAGGACAAAATGAAGAAAAAATAAGCAAAAAGGCTAACAGTTATATAAAATCATAGAATGGCTAGAGTTGGAAATCGAAGATCACATAGTTCCAACCCCTCTGCCATGGGTAGGGACACCTTCCAGTAGACCAGGTTGCTCAAAGGCCCATCCAACCTGGCCTTGTTGGATATCAAGCATCCTCAGTTCTGACTGACTTTGAGTGATGAAAAAACCCAACCCATTGTATCACGTAGCCATTAGGGAGCCTGGTCCTTTTTTCTGTCTCTACTTTGTAGGTCTGTAATGTGTATTACTGCCTGTGCTTGCTCTGCAAATTGTCACTAGCAGAAACTCCAGATACAGAAGGGTGATGGTAGAGCTCAGCTGGAGTGAAAAGAGGGGTTTTGCCTTTGGGAGTCTGATTACCAAAAGGCAGTAAATGAGCCTGAGATGATCCATGAGATCCTCGTGCACTTGAAGTGCTCCCCATCCACGAATGTCAAAGCGGCTTATCTGCTGGTTCCCAAGGGATGGCATCTACAGCACAGGGATTTGAGTTGGGGATAAGTTAGATAGTGGAGGGCTGTAACTAGATCTGCTAGAACAGTGTCTCTCATCACTTCCTACCAGTCAAGCCCTGGATACTTGTGAAATATAATTCCTATACAGAAAAACGTAAGAGTCATGGTATAACAATATGTATCTGCAGCTGCCTAAGAGCTCTTACTTTATTAATGTAGTGATCAGTTGTCTTAAACTATATCATCCACAGCATGCTAGTCCCCTAGTGTCTTATGGTACTATGCAGTGCTTTTGGGGGTTTATTTTCTCTCATATTTTTAATCTATCTGTTCCTTCAACTGTTTATGATTTTGGACTGTAGAAGTGCCAGAATGTCATTCCTAACTAGTGCTGTCTTTTAATTTCTAGCTGCCGTAGTGTGTGTCACTCTTCTGAATCGGCTTGAAGGGGATCAGATTAGTAGCTCACATGATGTACTTGTGGAGTATCAGCAGAGACCGCAGAAGTTAGTGGGTTACTTCATTAAGAAAAGTCTTGGGAAGGTATGAGATATCCATCTTTGTTTTTTAGAAGCAAAAGGCTTTCGCACAGCTGAGGTCATGGTCATGACTTCTGTGCATTAAAGGTCTTTTGCCTCAGAGTAGCTTAGAGCATTCTGTGTGTCCACGGAAGTTAATAATTTGTCACTGTACTTTGGGAACTGAATGCTGAATGGACTTCAGCTAAGTTGTGCTTAGTTATGCGTTGTTGGATGTAAGACTTGCTTTTCTGTGAATTAGAAAGTGGATCTGTTGTGAAGGACAAGCCTGCTATAATATACGAGAAATTTTTATTTATCCCTGCTGTACAAGAAAAAACAGAAAGAAAATCAAACTTTATTGCCAAGTACTTGCAAACCACCAAATTAAAATTAAGAATGCTAATCCTTTTCTTGTTGTTATAAAAATTATATAAGTTATAATTGTCTTTTTTGCGTCACTTGTAAAGAAAACTTAAAGTGAATGCAGTTTATCTTTTTGCAAACTCTGACAAACAGTACTATTTTCATATATTAAAATTTTATGAAATTGCAAAGTGTGGGACTGAATTTTCTAAGCATTAAGGACTTGACACTGAGTCGTTGAATATCTATACTTCCTAAATATTGATCCAAGAGGGTAATTCATATCCCATTTTAACTATATGATTGAATCAATACCCAGGAAACGTTTATGCATTAGGTAATCTTGCATTGAAGAACTTGAAATCTTTTGCTGAATCAAGGCTTCTGCTTTCTGAAGAGAACCCAAAGGCATTCAGAAGATGCACAGCACATTCACAGGTCTGCATTACGGTAGTTTTTTTTTTTTTCCCTTTTACTTTGTTTCTTTTTAAATTGGTTTTCATCTCCATGTCTTGAGGACATAACGCTCATTGTTGCATGATTCCCAGTTCTTCTGAAGAAATGGAGAATACCTATCTACTGTACCTGACATCAAAACCATTTCAGCAGTTTTTTTCTCTACCATTGGACTAGTGTTTGCTTCTTTTTTAAATCATACTTTTTGCTGCTGTGGTTAGAATATAATTGCATGGTCAACTAAAGAAAAATGCAGGTGGGAATGGCTCCACACTTTGTTTGAACTGTTCCTTTCTTATTTTAAAGAAAGCATAGATTTTTAAAATTTTTTATTTTTTAACTATGCTTAGTGCTTGCCTTGGAATTTCACGAAGCCCTGGAGTTCCCTTGTGAAACAGGCAACAAAGCACATGCTTGCTCTGCAACCTCCTGTTCCTAGAACAGTAGCAAGGAGATAAAAGGATCATTTAAGAAGGAATGTGCTGAAGAAAAGCTTATACCCGGTTGACCAGGATGGGTTTGGAAGAGACAGTTAGCTGTTGTAAAAGAAATACTTACTATGAATTACCTAAAGAGGAGAAGAAATATTTTATCAAGAAAAGAAACACCCAGTGTGGCTGTGTGAAGTTTTGGGGAAGTGTATTACTGCAGTTACCCTGGAGGTATAAATCTGAGACGGTGTGATTTGTCTTTTCAAAAGAAGGGCAGCAAGAATCTGGCAACTGGTTGAAAAGAAGTAGTTCCTCAATTGAAACTACACAGCCTTTGTATTAACAGTCATATAAAGTAGGCACTTCTGTTTTGATAACTAATATGAAAGCTCTTACGTGCTACATGTTGAAATGTAACTGGTATTGTAGCCTGGACGAGTTGGAGCTGAGATTTAAGCATTTGTGGAGTGACGCAACTATTCTATTAAATCGAACACAAGACCCTAGCAGAAACCCCTGGAAGTCTCTAGCTATTCACTTTTTGCCTATATGTCCTTTCTCCTTCCCACTGTTCCTTAGGACATTGTACTTTTCTTTCTGCTAATTTACTTCTTTGCTTCCTAGTAGACGGAGTAAAGGGACGTATGACAACTTAAAATTAGAATTCAAAGGAGAGCAAGTATCCTGCTGTTTTCCACTGCTCACTATCCTGTAATGCTGTATTCCTAATGCAAGAGGGTGCTCTATAGACACATCTTACGTGCAATAAAATACTGTTCTTAGCTTCAGAGGAAACTTGCCAGAGTGTTACCCTGATAAGAACAATTGTATTTTCCTTTGTGACTGCAAGTGGACAGAGAGATAAAGAAATGACTCAGCTGTGTGCATCCGGCAGTGAAGTTACCTTCCTGTAGATTTTACAAAGACATCCATAAAGAATTATAAAATATTTAACAGGCTTTAATCAATTCTTTAAAATTAGCCATTCACATTATTTCTGTATCATATAGAAAAGCAGCATACCTAAGCTGCAGAACATGAATCAAAATTTGGAGTGATGATATTTTTAAAAGCATATATGATATTAAGTATATGTTTGATATTACATAGTGCGGTGTCTCCTGGTAGATCTACAGATCCTGCAAACCACGGAAACCTCAATTTCAACTCAAAGGCCCGCTTTTTTTCTCTGTGCCACCCCACACCTAGCAATACACTACAGAATCGGTTTAGTCCAGAGATCAGAAGGGACAGAAGCAAAGAAGGAAGGCGGAAGATATTAATAGGGTGGAAGTAAGAAGGGAGAAAATGGTGATTTGTACTAATGGTTTGTTCTGTGATTCATGGCGTTCTTCTGGTCTGTTTCTACCTTTTTGTTAAATAAATGGTTGAGACAACAATGGGCATAGGCTAGAACGCATTTGTTCACATTTGCAAGAGACTGAGCACGTGCAGTAACTTGATTAGGGACTTGAAGTGGATTTTTGGTTTTGGCATCTCTATATACTTCAAAAAAAGATTTTCTTTAATGGAAGGTATGAGAAAACCTGAAAAGGAACATTTTGGAATGACCTATTGCCAGAAGTGCTTAGAGGATAAATGTTTTTATGCATCCTTTAAAAACCAAGCAAATAATTTGGTCATTTCAGTATTTCTTGAAAATATACATGTCATGTGCAACATATTTTTTTTAACATTCTTCCTAAGTCCTCACAAAGGATTTTCAGTGCATTATCTAACAGAGCTGGATTTTCTTCTCCAGTCTGGGTCTCAATATATTTCTAAATAAAATGTTTATACAGTTGAATCGGAGATGTGTTTCATTTCTGTTGACAAGATAGGTGCAAGAAACTGAAGTGTGAATGTTTTTAGGTTTGCCCATCAGCAGTCAGTTGTGTTCTGAATGCAGCGCTCAGTACTGTGAGCAGCAAACTGAGCTTTGGGGATTGGATCTGCATGCAACAACCAAATACAAAAAAGCACAGTACTGTGATTTGATGGCACTATTACGGTTTGCTACAAGATGTTGAGGTCTGCTTTCCCTGAAAGTTTCTCAGATTTTTAAGTTGGAGTGACTTAAATACGTGCTTTCTCTTTCTAAAATAATTACCATTTAATAGTATACTCCAGAGTATGAATTAAATTACAGTTAAAAAAGTCTTCTGCCTGAAGAAAAAGGAGGTCACTGAACAGAGCAACATCAAATCTGAAACTCTATGGTGCAATAATAGAAGAAAGAGTAATGCTGACAGGGGCAATGCTTTTGCTCCGGCTACAAACAAAACGCAGCAGCAGAAAAAGACAGACAGAGCCGGTTTTACACGACAGAGAAACCTGATTCCAGATGCTTCTTGTCAGCGCTGAGCTTGTAACTGCGAGAAAATTTTCAGTTTACTTATCAGCCTGTCATATTACAAGAATAAAATTGCTAGAGCTGCCCAGAAGCTCAAACAAACCACTGGCCTCCTTGTGAGATTGTGTCTGTTTTATTTGTTTAATGTGTAGCTCCATCCCTAATCAACCCTATTATTTGACCTTGCCCACAACTAGCATTCTTCATCGTATCCTAACTTTGCACACAGGAAGTGTCTCCCAGGAAAGATGCTACTAATTGATGTCATCCTGCAGGCGCTTTGTCTGCAAACCAGGTCTGTGCCATGTAAATATTTACAAGTAGCACTGCTAATAATGTTAAAAGGAAAGCCTTGTGATCACACTGGAAACCTTGTGAAAGAAATTGTGGGTGGCAGTAGGGAAATATGCTAGTTTACCAGATTCCCAGCCATATTCTCACATGATTTGACTGCATTCCTGTCTACCAAAAAGTATTTTTGGCTCCTGGGCTTTAACCTATTTAACATATAAAACTATGTTTCTTTGACGTGCTTGCCAACCCACTCTAATTAGCCTATATTAAAACTGTAGGCTAGACGTGGCGTGTTGATGGTGTCATTATAAAGCAGTCAAGTTTTAAAACCAGAGATGGATGCTGGAAGAAGGTTCTCTGCCTTTTCTGCCCCAGTGGTTTTGGATATCTTGCATATGGTAAGAGTAAACTTTCAAGTTAAAACTGAGACAAAGCCTGCTAAAGCTAAGCAGAAAAGGGCAAGTCACTATCTTCTCCTCACTTGGAGACCCAATTTTGAGCATACTTCTTTTCCATTCCAGAAGGAATGAGTGGAGCACATGATGAAATATCACAGTATCACACAGTATCACAGAATTTTCAGAGTTGGAAGGGCCCTCTAGAGATCATCTAGTCCAACTCCCCTGCTAAAGCAGGATTACCTAGAGCACATTACTCAGGACTGCATCCAGGCGGGTCTTGAAAATCTCCACACCCTCCCTGGGCAGCCTGTGCCAGTGCTCTGTCACCCTAACTGTAAACAAGTTCTTCTGTGTGTTGGAACGGAACTTCCTATGTTCCAACTTGCGCCCATTGCCCCTCGTCCTGTCACTGGGAACCACCGAGAAGAGTGTGGCTCCATCCTCCTTCAACCCACCCTTTAGATATTTGTAAGTAATAATAAGGTCTCCCCTCAGCCTTCTCTTCTCCAGGCTAAAGAGTCCCATCTCTCTCAGCCTTTCTTCGTAAGGGAGATGCTCCAATCCCTCAATCATCTTGCTTGCCCTTTGCTGTACTCTCTCCAGCAGTTCCCTGTCCCTCTTGAACTGGGGAGCCCAAAACTGGACACAGTATTCCAGTTGTGGCCTCACCAGTGCCGAGTAGAGGGGGAGAATGACCTCCCTCGACCTACTGGTCACACTCTTCCCTATGCAGCCCAGGATTCCATTGGCCTTTTTGGAAGCAAGGGCACACTGCTGACTCATTGACAATTTGCTATCTACCAGGACCCCCAAATCCTTCTCCTCAGAGCTACTTCCCAGCAGGTCCACCCCTAACCTATACTGGTGCCTAGCATTCTTCCTCCCCAGGTGCAGGACCCTACACTTGCTTATGTTGAACCTCATTAAGTTCCTCTCTGCCCAGCTCTCCAGCCTGTCCAGGTCACGCTGCATGGCAGCGCGGCCCTCTGGAGAGTCAGCCACCCCTCCCAGTTTGGTATCATCAGCAAACTTGCTGAGGATACACTCTGTCCCTTCATCCAGGTCATTAATGAATATATTAAACAAGATTGGACCAGGTATCGACCCCTGGGGGACACCACTGGTTACAGGCCTCCAACTAGACTTCATGCCACTGATAAATATGACCTTCTAATTCATCATGCAATATTCAACATGTTGCTGTTGACTACAGCCACCCTGTTAAAGCGCCCTGAAAGCATATAGTTTATTTATCCTACCGGCAATGGTGCTGCGTTTGAACCTTTTTAAGCTCTTTGTATGTGCAACCCCTAATCAAAGTTGCTATTTAAGGCTGGTACTTGCACAACGTACTGCTTGACACTGTACTGATGAAACCCAGGTCACTCAAAAGAGCTTCCAGGATGGCAGCAATACAGCTGATGTGTCTTTCAAAAAATATTCAGAACTGATTTGCTTTTCCTGCCTGTGTGCTTAATTTTCAATATTATTGTCTCTTTTGTGCCAAGGGTTTGTTGGGGGGGAGGGTGGGTGGGTTGATTTCATATTTTTCATATTTCTATAACATTGGAAATAATACAATCAAGCTCATACATCCTGTTTCTTCTAAAATTACTTTTAGAAGTAATTTCCCAGAATGTCACTGCAGGGATTGTTCATGGTTTAACATTCATGAGGTATCTTTTACTTTCATATATTTTGCTGTAGAAAAAGCAGCTCTACTACTGGAGAACACCATACTAGGCAAGAATGAATTTCTCTAGGAAAGGACAATGATGTACGAGGGCAAACGAAGTTTACAGAACTTGCTGGTGAAAGGTGTTTGTCTACTGGGTGTCTTATAGAGTAAAATGAGGAGTCAGTAGTTCATTAGTCCTGAATACTAATTGCTATTTTGTAAAATAGTTGTTTCCTGTATCCATGAAAAGAATTTTAGCATTAAAAAATAGAATGCAACATTTATGAGTATGCAATTATATAGAGCATAATAAATTAGGCACATCACACACTTGGATAAGCAGAGATTTTGCAGAATTGTTCAAAATAATTTGGCAAATGGTTTATGTGAGCTGTTTTAGTTTACATACTAGTCAGGAACTAGCTTCTGTATCAGCTGCTTTGATAAATAACTACTTGTAATTCATTATGCTGACTGATTAGTTTATCATTTCCTACAAATCACACACTATAGATTCTGCTCCCCAGTTTTCCAAAATAACTGTGTGATCCCATACATATATTCACAATATTCAATTATTGACAAATATTTGTTTAAAAATGCATACTTTGTCTGTGCACAGAATTTTCATCTCAGCTATCTCAGAATTTCATCTTTGGTCCCGGTGAGCAAAATTATTGTATATACTCTGAAATAGCAGGGATTTTAGCATTGCTTGACTAAAAGCAGAAACATCCCTTATGCAAGTGCCAGCCAGCTGTGAAGTGGAGCTCCTCGGTGAGGTATGTTCTTCCTTTTTGGTTGTTTGCCCACATACAATTTGCCACCATGGGGCATGCCATGAGGAGAGCCCCAGAGCCGGGGACGATGGGAGAGGTGAGGTGGGGGAGATGTGTCTCTGCTGCACAGCGTGGGGGCTGCTCTTCACCACTGGAGGAAGCAGAAGGATGGTAAGATGCTTGATGGCTGCTGCAGGCATGCACTTTGCCAGTACCATGACAGAGGAGTTGAGTGGGAAACGGGTTAATGGAAGAACATAAGATGTGCTTGGTGGACCCACCTTCATACATAACTTAATTAATACTGCCTTAGAGGTACAAACATGCTTAACATCATTCAGGTAAACACTGAGCTACTTTGTTTTTTAGTACGTCCTGAGGATTTTCACATTTCTATTTAAAGCTAAATCATAGAATCATAGAATTGTTTAGGTTGGAAAGGATCTTTAGGATCATCAAGTCCAGCCGTTAAACAACACTGACAAGTCCACCACTAAACCATGTCCCTAAGCATCACATCGACATATCTTTTCCATACCTCTACGGATGATGACTCCAGCACTTCCCTGGGCAGCCTGCTCCAATGCTTGACAACCCTTTCTATGAAGAACTTTTTCGTAATATCCATCCTAAACCTCCCCTGGTGCAACTGGAGTGACTAAGCTTCACAACATGCTCTGGAGGGCCAAACTGCTGCTGGGTGACCCAAATGCAAAACTTGGGAGAGGGAAGCTCAGGCACAGGGCATAAGACCTCATTCCATGGGAACTGGCAGAGCTCAGTAGAGCTGCAGATGTGCAGCTGCTCATTGCAGTAGTATCAGACTTATTAATGTTTTAGATTGCTGCCTTAGCTCAAGTCTAGTGGAAGTTGGATTCCTCACTGGTGACTTCCGTATCCAAAAAGTTTTTAGATTTTGGGGGATTTTATTCTTAACGTGGGAAAATAGCCGTGATTGTTTGGATGTCTCTTTTACTCATTAGTAACAAATTTTGTAGAAAGCGTAATGATGCAATTTACTCAGCAATAATGAGCAATAAGGAATATTTGTTCAGGCATCGCACTGTCCTAATTCAGATTTTAGATGGTTTGAATCACCTCCTATAATGGCTGTGTTATGTGTCTCCATTGACCATAGAGAGAGCTTTTGGGGATCAGATTCTATCTTAGGCAATTCATTTGGGTAGAGCGAAACATACACAAAGTTTACTCCTCTGCTCAAGGTGGCATTCCTCACCGGTAGGGCTGCCATCCTCACCCCCCAGTAAAACAGCACAGCTCTGCACCACCAGACACCTGCTGTGTCTCCAGGTGGCCCTGCTGCCACAGGTATGCACAGGGTCCTCTCCTGCAGATTCTCCCCTCAACCCCCGCACAACTCTGGGCATTGCCCTCCTTCTTCACTGAAAGAAGTGCTGGAAGACTGATTTTCATCCTGGGTGGCATGTGGCAATTGATGAACACAGTTTTCTGACTCGTCAGAATATTCCACCTTTATGTATGTAATGGAAAAGGAGAATGAAATGTCGAACACACACGTGACAAAATTAAACCGTCATATGATGATGCAATGGGACTACCACAATGCTAGATGTGTACTTATAAGGGTGTTCTAGAAGTATACAGACATTTATAGGGCTACGTGGTTAAACAGTGTACTTATTTTCCTGCTATTCTTTTTTTTTTTTTTTTTTTCCAAAAATCTAAGCATATGCATGCAAAATGACATTAACACTGCAGTAACAGTAAGTCACCAAAGTCTGGGAAAAGACAAATGTGTGTTACATATCCTTTTTTTTCCTGTTGTTTGCATTAATTTTTATTCCAGAAAAGTAGAAACAAGTGCAGAACATACACTGTGGAGTAAAGCACCCTGAAGGCATTTATACAAACCCATCCCCTTACTGTTCATTGCACTAAGCAAATGGAAAGATGAGATTCCTCAATGACTGCAAAACAAGAGGCAGAAACATAATCTCATCTTTTCTCAGCAAGCAGGCAAATCTTTTGCACTATTCTGCAGTGCTGGGATTAATCAGCTACTGAATAATACGTTCAGACTGCTTGGTGAGATGATTCTGAGCTAGAAAGTCCTTAAGAAGCCACTCTGCAAGTGGATGAAGGAAAGAAAAGACAATATGGGGCATGCTCTACACCAGTTCAAGGCTCTGTTTTGGAAGAATTGGCTCTGCCGTGTGAGGCAACCGGTGAGTTTTTGGAAATGATAAAGAAAGGAATATTTTAAATCTTCTTTTAGT